GGCTGGCCTGGCCTGCTCCTTGCTGCCATGTGCAGCTCCCGGAACTGGCTGGAGCTACATGCTGCTGAACAGCTGTCTCTGCATGGGCCACGAGCATCCCAAGGTCCTGCCACCTCCTGCTGCTGCCCCAGTAGCAGGGGCTGTAAGCCATGGGGGGCGCATATCACACCCCATTAACTCTACACACCCACACCCTGTCCACAACCCTCCCAATATACACACACTCATACCTCCTCACAAACCCCACATATACACCCTGCCATAGACACACCCGCCACACACACACACACACACACACACATGCGCGCAAGCACGCACCCCACTGTAGATACACACCCATCCCCCAACCCCCCCATTTATGAGTAAGACTTTATTTTTGAGCTATTATGCAATCACCTCTATGTACACTACAGAAATGCACATAAATCAGGACAATATTTTTTTGAAATAAAATTAAAATATGTTATAGTAGATGTTTGACTTCCAGTATATGATTTCTGGTTCTAAGATGGCACCCCTCCCCCACCTCTGGAGTACTTCCAGGGGCTTAGGGGACAGGACTTCCAGTTCTAAAATGGTGACCAGGGGGCATGGCACCTTTCAAGGGGTGGACTCACCCTTGCAGCCCTCGACTGCTCACCAAAACTCATTAAGTGGTCCTTCAGCTGAAATAATTGCCCATCCCTGCTGTAGGCCTACCAGTCTCATTTACTAGAATCTGGTGTAAAGTTACTCTGGGGGGAAAAAATTGAGAGTAAAACTACAACAACATAACCTCTGTGAATGTAGATATATGTCTGCTTCTATCCCAGACTAAACACTTTTTGAAAACAGCAGCGGTATTACTGGCTTCCCTGCCTGATGGTGACAGGCACTGCGGTAATGCTGACTACAGCAGCTCTTGTGGGAGAGCTGGTTGTCTGTCTGCTCCAGATACGAGTATGCAAAGGACATACATTCTTTAAATATCCTGTCTTGTTTTCCTCATTCTCTTAGTTCTCTGTTTCTGTCACATGGGTATATGGCCAGAACCATGGCCCATTGATTTTCTGTAAAGTAAAAATTGGCTTGTTGGCTCACTGTCTTATGTATATGGATAGCTTTTAGAAGTCTCTATATGCTTCATTATTTAGTAGTTTGCTTCTTTAGGTGGTGGAACATGTTGTGGACTATGAAAGTCTTCTAGTAACATGTCATGATTTTATAAATGTACTTAAAAAAAACCCTGAATGTTTATGATTCCACCTTCTCCTTTACTAGGTAAGTGTAAACTGATGGGAGAGTTTTTGTTTAAGATCTTGAACAGCTGTTCATTTCTAGCAGTAGAAATTTATCAGGCAGCTTGCCTGGTGCTCCTCTGCTCCCAGTAATGGAAACAGAATGAGAGAGCAGCAGGTAGAGAGCAGCTACTCCACTGTCCTCCCAGACTGGTCCATGAAGGGACCAGAAGCCACCACCAAAGCTCCCTGCCCACTCCAGTCTGGGAAGCCCTGGTCTGAAGAATGGGAGTGGGGCTTTTCCCTGCTGCTCCACTCCTCTTCCAAATGAGACCAAACCAGGAGGGGAGCATACAGGCTTTCATTCTTGCAAGAGTTTCTCTCACAAGGGAGATCCTCCACATTGACAGGTTCCTTTTCTCCCAGAAGGTGTGTATTTCCCTTGGGAACAATTGAATAAACACCTGTAATTTCTACTGGGAAAGTGGTGATTCTCCTTGTAGAAACACAATGCCTGTATGTAGCCTTATGTCATGTACTGAGATTCAGTTTCTCGTGGGAGAATTATTGCTTTTAGAAGTCCACCAATACGTTGGTCCCATATCTAATCAGCAACAATATAAGGAAAATTCACAGCATCAGGAATTGGCTTTTTTTGGCTAACATGGCCAATAAATGCTTCATCCATATGTGCAGCTGCAGCACAGCATGTAGGTGGCCAGGAGCACAGCCCAGCAGTGTTGAGAGCAGCTGAGTCCGGCTGTTAAATCTGTTGTGAAGGAAGGGGTATGGGGTTCAGATTGAGGCCCCTGCAGTGAGGGAGGGAGTGGGGCAGGGGCAGGAGCTGCCCAGCTGGGGTTGGATGCAAGATAGAGCAGCTCATCCTGGGTGGGAGGGGAGGGTGGTGGCGGCTCCCACAACTGCGTGTATCTCAGGAGGGCATGGGGTGGGGGCGTGCCCCTGGATCTGCGTGTGGGCCAAAGGCAGGCTGCTGCTGTGGGCAGGGCCAGGGGCAGTGCCGGGCTCTTCCCAGTGAGGGGCTGGGCCAGGGCTGCACTTGGGGCAGACAGAGGGGGCTATGGCGAAGGTTGGGGTGGCTGCAGCCTGCCCCCATGCTGTAACCCACCTTCCAGCGCTGCTGCCACTGCCCTGAGCAAAGCCCGGCCCAGCCCTCCACTGGGAAGAGCCTGGTGCCGCCCCAGTCCCAGCCTGCAGCAGCAGCCTGCCCTCACCCTGCATGCAGATCCGGGGACACCCCCCCCATACCCACCTGGGGTGTACGCAGCAGCAAGAGCTGCCCCCCCATCCCCAAATGTGCCGCTTCTGGCTCCGTCCTGCACTCTGCCCTGGCTGTGCAGCACCTGCCCCTGCCCCAGCCCCAGTCCTTCCTTCACCACTGGGGCCTTGATCTTCCCCACCACTTACCAGCCAGACACTGGTCTTCAAGCTGCCCAGCTGCATGTTGGCAGTCAGATCAATATCGGCCATCAGTATTGGCCCAAAAACTCTCTATCAGTGCACCCCTAATTGCTCTCCCAGTAAAAACCCTGAGTGTACAGATGTTCCAGTTTTTTTCCCCCAGAGCAAAATTGGCTACTCAAGGAGAAAACTAGCTGGGAACAGCTAGGAGAACGAATATCTGTATATGTTCTCCTCTGAGAGAAGCCACAACACAGTCCTCCAGTGCCCCAAGGTGATGTATATGCAGCCTGAGTTACCTGTTTCTGGTTACCTGGAGAGACAGCACTAATGCTGGGTAAAGTGTTCCAAGGAATAGAGTTCCCAGAGTTGAGGCCTGAAACCTTTTATTTTTAAAGAGTCCACATTTAATATTGAAATGTTCAGTATAGATGTCAGATTTGATCATTCCAGACATGTAATTCACGACTGGCCATATCCTATAACAGCATTCAGTATTATTAAAAAGTTACGTAGGGCCACATATTGCTTCTCATGTTTATTTTTAGAATGTGCTCAAGGGGCTTTTGTAGGCTGCTGACTTTTGCTGAGCAAAGGTCTGGAAATCCCTCCAGGGTAGAGTGAAGTCTGCAGCAGTTACTTCATCAATGGAGCTAATGTTCAGACTTATTTGTCCACCTACTCTTTAACCCGTAAACCATCATTGGCCCTGGTTTCTCAACCAGTTCATGTTTAGGGCTACATTTTTTGCAGTGTCAGATTTAAAAAAACATTTTTAAGGCAAGTCACAGAATGATCATGGTGAAAAAGGTAAATCATGGAAAGTAGTTTCTGCACTGTTTAAAGTCAGACTGTCAGGCTGTAAAAAGAAGTGCATGCAGTGTCAAGGTTTATGATAGAAGTGAAGAGCTGGGATGACTTAGCAAAATTAATTTTGTACATGTAACTTTGGCGTCCCAAAATGAAGTAATAATTTTTCTTTTTCTTTTTTTAATCTCTTAAGGTGAACTAGTTATTGCTGAGACAGGTCTGATCCTCTGTGACAGCTGCATTTTTGGGGCTCTTGCTGTCTAAGACTCCTAAGCAGCCCTAGATTTTCCTTTTAATGTCTGCTCAGTTCTCCTTGTGTCCCCCCACCCATAACAAGCAAAAAGGCCATAACCAAAGCCTCTTTAAAGTTGCTTGCATATTACATACGACTTATATGTTAGCAGTGGCAAGAGTCTAGCCTTCTTCTAATAGAAGTCTAGTCATCTTCTAATACTGCTGACTTGGGTACTATATAATTTTGGTACTTTAGGTGATACAGTAGGGCACAAACAGAAGTGACAATTTTCACCCAGTGTAGCCCCTGAAAGCACTGTGACCTAACACAAATGCATGGCTGCAGAGCACTTTAAAATGTCTCAATTCCATAACAGTCTGAACCTTAATTATATGAGGGTTTGGATGAAGATGCTTCAAAGCGGGGTGCCTTCGTTGACTTGTATCAGCGTATGTTGGGAGCAGGCCTGGGCTGACACAGCCCAGCTTTGCTCCTGATGCAGTTTTCAGAATGGGGAGGTGGGTAGGGAAGGGGGGGGAGTAGAGGGAGCTCATTCTGGGGGTGCCCAGCCAGCGGTGGAGGGTGGGATTAGATGGATCGGAGCCCCCACCTCCCTGAGGTGGGAGACTCCAATCTCCCCCCTGCCATTATAATGCAGGCTGGGGAAACCCCAAAATAGACATCCCTCCCCTGCTTTCTCCCCCTCCCATCCCGAGACAGCATGGGCTGGGGAGGAGGAGGAAAGGGAAAGGGCTAAGGGAAGCTGCGGAGGACAAAGCCTCTCTCCCTTCCTCTGTCTGCTCCAAACTGGAGCTTGATTCCCCCACCCTCCCAACACGACAGTTTGAAGGATTGGTCTAACTCATGGCACTATGTGTGAAGCACAATGAGTTAAACCGCAGATCTGCATTTCTGTCTGTGCCCTAAATGCCATAAGCGTACTTGCCAAATCTAAATGCATTCTCTTCTGCAAGAAGTTTAAATCAGTTTTGCAAACTACGTTATATATATATTTCTTAGTTATGAGAGACAAACCTAGTTCTTCAGCTTGAGCTTAAGCTTCACCTGTGCTGAATAGGGATGAAGCTGAAAGAACCTTTTGTAATGTTTGTAATTTTATTCTTTTTATAGCTTGTAGTCTGGTTTCATATTGGTAGTGTGGACGCTTTTGAACGGAATCTGGAAACTGCACAGCAAGAATTAGGAATAGAAGCAGAGAAAAGAATACCTGTACTCTACACAACAGTGAATGATGGGTAAGAAACTTGTTATCAAGATACCTATTATTTAAGGAAACAGTGCATCTCTTTCACAGTGCACTAGATGGCAGTACTACCAGCAATGCTCTCTTTTTTGACTTAGTTGTTCTAGTATGTCTGTCAGTGAGCAGGGACTTGGTTGTCTGTATTCAAAGATACCTTGTAATTTTTTTATGGGCTTAACATCTCATTATTGACACCAAACTTTGGGGCAAAGCATCCACTCCTGAAGACAGGAGGGCGATCCAGCGTGACCTGGACAGGCTCAGCAAATGGGCGGACAAGAACCTGATGGTGTTTAACGCCGAAAAATGTAAGGTTCTCCACCTTGGGAGGAAAAACCTGCAGTATCCTTATAGGCTCGGCAGTGCTACACTGGCTAGCACTACGGAAGAAACAGACTTGGGGGTCATCATTGACCACAAGATGAACGTGAGCCTGCAATGCGATGCTGCGGCTAGTAAAGTGACCAAAACGCTGGCTCGCATCCGTAGATGCTTCTCAAGCAAATCCCGGGACGTCATTCTCCCCTTGTACTTGGCCTTGGTGAGGCCGCAGCTGGAGTACTGCATCCAGTTTTGGACTCCACAATTCAAAAAGGATGTGGAGAAGCTTGAGAGAGTCCAGAGAAGAGCCACGTGCATGATCAGAGGTCAGGAAAACAGACCTTATGATGACAGGCTGAGAGCCATGGGGCTCTTAAGCTTGGAAAAGCACAGGCTCAGGGGTGATCTAATGGCCACCTATAAGTTTATCAGGGGTGACCACCAGTATCTGGGGAAATGTTTGTTCACCAGAGCGCCCCATGGGTTGATGAGGTCGAATGGTCATAAACTACTGCAAGATCGTTTCAGGCGGGACTTAAGGAAGAATTTCTTCACTGTCCGAGCCCCCAAGGTCTGGAACAGCCTGCCATCGGAGGTGGTTCAAGCATCTACGTTGAACATCTTCAGGAGTAAATTGGATGCTTATCTTGCTGGGATCCTATGACCCCAGCTGACTTCCTGCCCTTTGGGCAGGGGACTGGACTCGATGATCTTCCGAGGTCCCTTCCAGCCCTAATGGCTATGAAATCCATGAATTGCATATTTCTGTGTGTCCACTGTTGGTCCTTTTTATGCAGTAAGACCAACTTAAATTTTTAGCGCTCTTATAATCCCTACAAAGAGTAAAGGATTGATGTATAATAAATAATATAAAAATTGGTGTAAATAGACTTATATTGAATTAGTCTTGGATGGCTTAGCTTTCATGAGTTGGCTCCAGCACAGCAGACTATAGCTGCTTCTCTTATTAGGTGTATCAGTAGTAACCACTGAATGGCTTATTTCAGTAACTGGTTTCATGTTGGTCTAGTTTAGAGGCTCCAAACTCCCTTGGTATGTCATGGGCTGGCTCTTGACCCACTGCACTTGCATTGCAAGCAGCAGCAGTGTTGACCACTGCAGGTTCTTGAGCCACGGGGATCAAGATACTTGTCACCCTTCCACTCCTGACATGTCTGCAGCAGGGCTCTTCCTGTCATAATTTGGCAGCAGGCCCTACCCCTGAATTCCTATACCCCTCCAGCAGCCCCACAGGTCAGATGATATAGCTTGCAGCTCATATCCAGCCTGCTAGCTGCATCTGGTCTAAGCTAATATTGAAGTAAAGACTTGCTAATCTATGTGAAAATAAGTGTTGTACGTCAGGACCCTTTAGTTTGTGAGGTGAGCTTCTGAGTCCTGTACTTCAGCCAGGAGTTTGCAATGCCTCAGTGGTTGGTTTGGTGTTTTGCTTGTTGGTCTGTTATGCTTGGGATCCTGTACATATGTCAGTGATTTCTCCCTCTTATTATATTACATGATGATGTTGTGCTGTTCCCCATTTTCTATATAGCAACAGGAAAGATAGTCCAGTGTTTCAGGTGCTCTCCTGAGCATGCAAAGAATAAGGTTCAGTTTTCTGTGTTGCGGCCGCACAGGGTGACTGAGCCAGGTGACTTAATCTCTGTGCTTCAGTTCTCCATCAGAAAGAAGGAGATATAAGAGTAATTTCTGAATTGGGAAGGTATACCATGAGGGTAAAAACGTAAAGGACAATGAAGAGGTCAGATAATGTCCAAGGTAAAAAGCTTGCAAAAAGCAGAAGTGGGTATGTGGAAGATGATTAGTAAGTTTTAGCCAATCAGCCTGAACATGGGAAAGGGGAGATAAAGAGATTGAAGGAAGGAGAAAGAAGGAACGAAAAACACTTTGATAAAAATTTACAAACCTCTTGGCCTTTTAACTTAAAGGCTGCAGATTTATAGAACATTGTCTTTTTGAATAATGTCAATTATGTAACTTATTTTCATATGCATTAATAACTTGTGTGACTTTTTTTCTTTCAGTTCATTTCTTCTGAGCCTGCTACCTACAGTTCTTATCATTTCCTTTTTATGGTATATAATAAAAAGAGGGCCTACAGGCATGGGTCGAACAGGACGGGGAATGGGAGGACTTTTCAGTGTGGGTGAAACCACAGCCAAGGTCCTGAAAGATGAAATAGATGTGAAGTTTAAGGATGTAGCTGGCTGTGAAGAGGCCAAGTTAGAGATCATGGAGTTTGTCAACTTCCTGAAAAACCCAAAACAGTATCAGGATCTAGGAGCAAAAATCCCAAAGGTGAGGAAACAACAGTTCAGTAGGTGCAGTAGATGTAACTGTTTTAACCAATGTACTGAAGCTTTTTCTTGTGTAATCTAAAATTATTTCAGTTATGTATATATTTCCTAGGCACTCTGAATTAGATCAGTAATTTTGAAGCAGATGATTCATTCCAACTCTTTTCTTTTGACCAAAAATCTGAAGAAAAATTAATAACCCATAATGTATATGTAGTGCAACAATGCTTCTGAAGCATGTAATGCCAATAACAGGCTTTTTTCATGTAGACAGCCTGACATATGTTTGTGTCAGTCAAAATTTGTTACATATTTATATATAGTAAATGTATGCCTAATATTTTATAATCAATTGACAAAGAATTCTCTGTTTTTTTTAGCCCGAATACAGGTTGTGCCCATGTGCTTATATTGCACCAGCTAAATAAAAGAACATAGTTTTAATATTCTGGATCAAAATGTTTTGAGCTAAATCTTCAAAACCTGTTAAATGGCAGCAAGTTACCTGAGTTTTGATACAGCATTCAGGTTTAAATGAGATTGAAATTGAGATCTTAGCCTCCTAAAATAACTTTTGGTCCCCATTCTAAATCTTCCCTTCACTGATTATCCTAAAATATACTGTAGAACATATTTGGGTGAGATTTATGTATATATGATGTTTCTTCCTGTGACAGAAGTTAACTGTGCTTTTTATTCCCCCAGGGAGCCATTCTGACAGGTCCTCCAGGCACTGGAAAAACACTGTTAGCTAAAGCTACAGCCGGAGAAGCTGATGTCCCTTTCATTACAGTTAATGGCTCTGAGTTTTTAGAGATGTTTGTTGGTGTGGGTCCAGCTCGAGTAAGTCTTTGGCACTGTTGTATTATTTCACTGTCAGCTGTTAAAAGGATGCTCTCAAAGTTAGTAGGCTAAAAGCCTGATATATCTTAAGTTACAGTTATCTATTCACTGTATTTTGGTAGTAGCACCAGGTGTACTTAAAAGGTTCAGCATGAAGTCGATTATAATGTATGTTAAAAAAATCTGTAATTTTTCTGTAAGTGCAAGTCATCCATGCCTGTGATACTTTATCACTCTACTCTGCTTTCTGAAGTTTGTACTAAAACTTTCTCTCAAGCCCTACAGTGAAGTGCATATATAGTTATCCAGAACTGGACACAGTACTCCAGCTGTGGCCTGACCAGCGCCACATAGAGAGGGAGAATCACCTCCCTGGACCTGTTTGTGAAGCACTTACGGATGCACGATGAGGTGCGACTGGCTCTGCTGACTACTTCAATCACATTGACAACTCATGTTCATCCTGGAGTCAACAGTGACTCCAAGATCTCTTTCTGACCATCTCAGCACCACTGAGGGAGAAAGAAATCTTGGAGTCACTGTTGACTCCAGGATGAACATGAGTCGTCAATGTGATGAAGTAGTCGGCAGAGCCAATCGCACCTCGTCATGCATCCGTAAGTGCTTCACGAACAGGTCCAGGGAGATGATTCTTCCTCTCTACACGGCACTGGTCAGGCTGCAGCTGGAGTACTGTGTCCAGTTCTGGACACCGCAGTTCAAGCAGGATGCAGACAACCAGGAGAGGGTCCAAAGAAGAGCTGCTCATCTGATTGGAAGCCTGCAGGGAAAACCCTATGAGGAAAGGCTAAAGGACCTTAACCTTTTCAGCCTCTCCAAGAAAACGTTGAGAGGGGACCTTGTGGCAGCGTACAAATTCATAAGGGGAGAGTAACACAAAGTAGGCGATAATCTGTTTACCAGGGCATCCCCTGGAACAACAAAGAACAATGGCCATAAGCTATTGGACAGTAGGTTTAGACTGGACATTAGAAAAAAGTTCTTCACAGTCAGGGTTGCCAGGATCTGGAATGGGCTTTCAAGGGAAGTGGTGCTTGCCCCATCCTTGGGGGTCTTCAAGAGGAGACTGGACAGGCATATGGCTGGGATCATGTGATTCCAGGTTTGGTGACCCTTTGGTTGCCTGGCAGGATCAAGGGGTCGGACTAGATGGCCCACTGAGGTCCCTTCCAACCCTAGAATCTATGAATAAAATACTTAGCTGCTCAATTAACTGGATTCTTGGCAAAGTGTCTTTCTCCCCACTTTTAAATTTAGTTAGCATTTCTTTGAAACTCTTGCTTTTTTTAAGTGTCTGGTCTTACAGTTGTCTGAGTTTTAAAAAAAAAAAAAGGTTTCTGGCTGAAATTTGAACAAGACTTAATCCAAGGGTCTTAGGTGTTGTTTTTTTTGTTACCATAAATCAAAAAGCAAACACAAATGTTTCTAATTCCCCCCTCCCCCCGACACAATCCTGGAATATTATGAAATGTAAAGGTCGTCTTTCTGATCTTAGTGCTTGAGCTGTTTTGGTACAGCTTTCAGAGAAAACTGTAATGTAACAGGCTGTAGTCACTGTGGCAGGGCACTGTAGGTGCCTGCCACTTTAAGGGCTGAGCCAAGTAGCCAGCAGGTGCTTGATTGTGGTGGCCATTTTAGATCCCTGGTCGCCTATATAAACAGAGCAGTTTGCTGCTGGCAGGCCAGGCAGTAACATCGCCTGGCTGCAAGGCTGCATGCAACATCCTGGAGGTAAGGGCAGGAGCTGTAGGGGTTGGTTTGGAGGCTCCTAGGCATGACCTAAAACTGCACCCTGTTGGGAGTGGGTGGCCTGTTGGGAGCTTGGGGCTCCCAGTGGTGCGGGAGCCTCCAGGAAATGCCAGGCCAGTTGCCACACCGGTGAAAGGCAAGTAGAGGTTCCTTAACCCCAGCTGTAACCTTTGGGTGTGCTATTTGAACCATCTGATCCAGGGAAGGTCAGGTAAGCTTCAGGAAGCACCTGAGCCTGCTGGGGTGAGTGACCCCATGGGGCCAGGCACACTTCATGAAGCATCTGAGCTGGGAATGGGAGACCCTGATCCCTGAGTGCAGGCAGGAGGCGTAGACCCAACTGAGGGACTTGACTGGGCAATGCTGGGGCCAGGACCGGAAGGCTCAAAAAGGCCAGGGGCCCACCGCATGGGACGCTCATATAGAGCGAAGAAGCTCAGGGTCCCGACTGATCTGCGACAGGGCCAGGGTTTATAGGGAAGCCAAAGGTCCCATGGAAGGGGCCACAGCTAATGGATGAAGGAGACAGTTGAGTAGACTGCCTGAGATGCCATCTTTGAGGCTTGGGCTGTGGTGTAGGGGTGGAACGGAGCCGCGGATAGCCACCCCAATATCGGGGTATATAATGGGCAGCCTCCCTCCTAATTAATATCTCAATTTTGTTCCATCTAGACATGGCAGGCAAGTCAGGTGGGCGGTGTGCCTAGAGGCAGGTGGGGAAACTAGCACTGTGGCTAGTCTGGGAGCCCCACTTTGCCACAGTCGCAAGCTAACATAGATTTGCAACCAGAGTTACTGATAAAATTGCTGCTTGCGCTAACCTGATTTTTGGGTGCTATGGATGAGTAGTCGTTAGAGTATCATGAAGCATGTTAAGTAAGTTCATAAACTGATAGCTTTGACTTGTATACACAATCTTATTTTTTGTGGGGAGGGAGCAGGAATTACTGTACCTGAATGAAGCTGGGTTAAAATTCGACCAGTTACTTCATTTATGTGTGCAAGAGCCTGCAGCTATAAACTGTTACACTTGACACTTGCTGCATGGTTTAGAGCAGCAGCAGCTCCCCCTTCCCTTTTGAAACTGCTCCACGTATACTGTCTGTACCCAAAGACTGTGACAATACCGTCCAAGCAGGCTGAACTAAGGCCATCTGAGAAGCCTTGCTTCTGACATTTCAGAGCTTTTGAGTGCTTGACTTTGCAACTTTAATGTTCTCTTAGTATAAATTGTACATAAAGAAAACACTAGCACTTGAGTTGCTTTTATTTCTGTTCCACATTCCTTTTGACTTTTTGGGATATGCTTCTAATTGCAGCTTTAGCAGCTTAAATAATAAAGCTGTGAAGCTGATCTGTGTTCTTACACTGCTTTTCATAGACCTTGCCAAATTATTCCCATGAATTCATTTCCTGTTCTTTGTTACTTTTTCAGTTATTTTGCCTGTTTTCTTGCTATAGTAAAAGCTCCATTAACTGGCACCTTACAAGCCAGCATGTTTTATTAACCAGCATGCTGGCTTGTAAGGTAAAATGAAACCACAAGTGCCCACTGTGGCATGTCCAGTTTCCGAGCCTGTGTGGCCCAGGGCAAAGCAGCCTGCGCTGCCGAGCCCCTAAGGCCCAAGGCATAGGGGGCTGCACAGGGCCCGCCTCCCTGTCCCTCAGGCCTGCGGGAGGGTTGGTGATGCTGTGGGAAGGACGGTGATGCTGCGGGAGGGGCAGCAATGCCCCGGAAGCAGCAGGAGAAGCAGCGGCCCAAACAGGCAATGGCGCCTGTTTGGTCTGCTTAGTTAACCGACATATTTTGTTATCCAGCACCCCCCCCCGCCCCTTTTCCCATGGGTGCTGGATAACAAAGCTTTTACTGTATATTATTTCTAATGGAACAACCTGATCTGGTGAGTGAACAGAATAACTGCATTCTGCCATCTGGTCATAGTTCAAGTGCCTTGTTCATAAATTCAAACCGTTTTAAATACAGACCTGCATACACGATATTGGTGCTCCTTTTTGTAATAAAGAATCAGCTCCTTTCTGTAATAAAACTGTGAAAACTTTTACAGTAACCTCCTCCACACACAGTTTTAGTATTTAACTTGTGTGCTTTCCAGAAATACTGCACTACAACACACCCATGTATTTGTTTCATTCTGTTCATTATGCCACTTAATATAAGAAAATTCCAATTTAAAGGATGTTCACTCTTCACAGCAGAACTGTACCTTTCTCAGCATACCTGTTTGTGTTTAGAATATTATCCATTGATTTAATAGAAAGGGAAGTTAGCTGTTTTTCTGCTGTTACTGCATGTTGGATTTTTTAGCAGTCTGCAGTTGGTTGGTATAGTTGGGTGCATCTACACGTGCCATTAAAACAGTGTGCTAAACTCTGGCACAGTTCACACTGGAGAAAACTGCTTCTGGGTGCAGTGTTTACACACGTGCCTGGGACTGCAGCACTTTGAACTGAGGCAGAGAAGCCCTGGGCTGCCAGGGGGTCCCGGGGCTCAGTCCCAGGCTCCAGGTGGTGGCGTCAGGCAGCATCGGGGCTGGCTGGGACACGAGGGTGCTACAGTGCGTGGCTAGGTGGTAGATACCCTCCACACTTTAGCACCCTCATGCCCCAGCCAGACCTTGTCTACATGTGCATTTTGGAGAGTAAATTACTCCACCATAAGATAGTACTGTCCCTAACAGTACTATCCTATGGTAGAGTGAATAAATTTACTGCATCCTAACACTGGTGCATGTGTAGACTGTGATGCTTTACCGCAGAGCTATTTAGTCAACTCTTCAGTAAAGCGCACGTGTAGATGCACCCATTGTGAGTAACTTTTTTTTAGTATTCTGAGGTTCATTCAGGAACACTTATATAAACAAATGAAGGGCAATGAATGTACACAAGTATTGCCAAGGAGGACAAAGTTATTGAGTGAGCTACACCACTGTAGTAGCTACAGCAGTCTTCCAGTGCTTTCTGAGTTGGGCAGGAGACTCTTGAACATTCAGTAGTGAGAATAGCTGGCAGTGTAACAGTCAGTAGTGTGATTATGGTATTGATCTTGCTCACATATGCTTTATGTACCTAAGATGATTAAAAATAACTCATGTATTTTGCTGTCTTGTTAAGGTCCGAGATTTATTTTCTCTTGCTCGTAAAAATGCCCCTTGCATCCTCTTCATTGATGAAATAGATGCAGTAGGACGGAAGAGAGCACGGAGCAACTTTGGAGGGCAAAGTGAACAAGAGAACACACTCAACCAGCTTCTAGTAGAAATGGATGGTAAGAGTTCATCTTCTAATAACAGTGTATAATAACCTCTTGGGCATCTGTTGATTGTTTTGTGATAGATTGACATAGATGTTTGAGTTCAGCAATTTTTCCCCCACTTAGTACCACTCTGGGCATGGGGGGAGGGAAAGAAAAAATACCCAAATGAGTGCTCTTGCTCTTCTCATCGGTTAGCCAGGATTTCAGCTGAAGTTTTAGAGAGAATGTATACGTGAAAATGAAAAAATATGTTCTTTCCCCATTTCCCCATTTAAATTTAAGAAAGACTACTCAGTTTGGCAGAATTTGAGGTCTTTGAGTGTATTCAGGAATTATAAGTGCTGAGAGTGTTTGATGCCTTAGTTCCCCATGGCAGATGTGGGTGAAGATGTTGCACAACACTAGTCTGCACCTTTAGCGGGCTTCAGCTAGTGTTGTGAGGTTCACAGTTTCATAAGTGTTCTGTTTGTTGTCAGTTGCTTTGGTTAAACTAGTACTTTAATTCAGAAACTTGCCCAAAGCAGAGCTGAAAGTGTGTGTCTAATTGTGAAAATATGGAAATATTTTGCCAAATATTTCAACATCACAGTATCATTGTCTTTGATCTTAATGTAAAGAAGGGGTGCTGAGCCCACCGGCCAAATGCCACCCACTGCACTGTGTCATCTGGAGAGCCTTGTGTCCTGGATCTGGAGCCCAATCTTAGTGCAGAGGGCTGGGCAGGGGCAGCACCATGCCCCAGGGCCCAATCCCAGTGGGGTAGGACAGGCAGGGGCAGTTTTATGGCCCGGTGGGGGGCTGGGCAAGGGTGACACCAGATCCCAGGACCTAATCTTGGCCTGGCTTGCTGGGGTGGAAAAGGGCAGTGCTGGACCCCCTAGGATAAATCCTGGCAATGGAGGCAAGGGAAGGAGTGGTACTAGGCCCCAGGGCCCAATCCTGGAACAATTACCTTGATTTGGCCTGCGGACCAGCCCCAACCCTCCTTATCTGTCTGAGGAGGTGCAAAACCAGTGATGTAAAGTATTGCTGCTCATTGTATTAAATATTTGGCTTATTAAGGTGCAGTAGTTCAGGTGCTTAGTAAGGTGCATCCTACTTCCTGATGCATCTGTTGGGCTTTTATTGCATAAATAAACGGCGATTGTGTGAATTCAAATACTTAAACACTTCATGTTCTGTTTTGGCAGGGTTTAACACTACCACAAATGTAGTAATTTTGGCAGGCACAAACAGACCAGATATACTAGATCCTGCACTGATGAGGCCAGGACGCTTTGATAGGCAGATCTATCTTGGTAAGTTCTTAGCTCTACTGTAGTCTGTATAGAACGTACTATTAATATTAGGACCTTGAATAGTCCCATTAAAATTGTTAGAGCTATTTCCATACCTGAATTTTTGCAGCAACAAGTCTTGTATATAAAAAGGAAGGGCTTTATATTCAGAAGATAATCTTTCTTTTTCTTTTCAACCCCCTTTTAAAGGACCCCCAGATATAAAAGGAAGAGCATCTATTTTCAAAGTTCACCTCAGGCCTCTGAAAGTAGATAGTACATTAAATAAAGATAATCTAGCAAGAAAACTTGCATCACTAACTCCAGGGTTTTCAGGTAAGTGAATTACTTTGCAAAGCCATGTTTACTTTGCATGTATTAAACAAGTGATACCAGTTATTGCAGAGGTAGAAGTAGTTTTTCATTCCTTCCACTTCTCTGGTTTACTAACATTCATTCTGCCCTTCTGCCACTCTGAACATTATTGCAGAGAGAATTCAATACAAGTATTTTTTTTTCTTATATACATGTATATTCTATCTCTCTCAGTAGTTTTGTTATATTCAAATCTTGTTCCAACTCCCCCTGGCTTGGACATACTTTCCTGGCAATGTATATGTAGGCTTTCATCAGTAGATGTCATGTCCTAATCAAGCCTAGGTTTATGCTACCAGATAGCAATAACTTTTGGTCAGCTGTTGGGTCTAAATAGAACTCTTTCTGCCTATACCTATCTCTGGTCTTCAGTGCTAAAAAAACTGTGGTTCTCATTAAATGTTACCATTATTTTAAGTCTCTTTAGAGAACAGTTATCAAATGGCATGAAGACCAAGCTGTCATTATATTCCTGGATGATATCCTTCTAGAACAAGCATTAACACATATTGGGCCCATATGGGAGATGTTTATGCTGTTATTACTCATTTTGTACAAGGCCTACGACAGACAGTACTTACAAGGGATGGGACTTAACAAATTAGTTCTTTTGGCAACAAATTCTTTGATAACTGATTTAAAAATCTAGATCAATTCACATAATATAGTTATGAGTCAGCATTGCAAACAAACTTTTTTGTAGCAGTTGCAACCTTGCTCTCAATTTCTGAAGAGATTTAGTTTATTGGGATGCTTAGTATTTAGCTAACACTAGATTATGTTATGTTTTCCAAAAAGACTGAGAGAGCAGTAGTTGAAAATTATTTACTCTGCCTTGGTTTTTAGGTGCTGACATTGCTAACGTTTGTAATGAAGCTGCTTTAATTGCTGCAAGACACCTTTCAGATGCCATAAACCAAAAGCACTTTGAGCAAGCAATTGAACGAGTAATTGGAGGTGAGAGGGTAGAGTGAATCATCTGAAAAGAAAACGAGGCAGTTGGATTCTCTTTAAATGCCGTAGTTTGGATCTGGTAGCTTGTTTTTTTTTAAGTCAGTTTTAACTATACCCTTTCTTGCTAATAATATAGCATAAGATTTTAAAAGAATTAGGTTACCTCTGCTGTAGTAATTCTTCCTTCCATTGCAAATTTCATTTGATGCTTTTCCCTCATTTGTTCAAGATGAGGGCCAAGAAGAATTTTTAATACCTGTTTTGGGATTTGATAAAATTTAAAAGACCTGCTATACAAAACAGGCTATTTAAAATAATAGCATTGATAAAGAGCATCAGAATACACTGAAACTGTATCATGTTAAGATAACAGTATCACGTTAATGACATAAATACAGAGCATAATGCAAAATGTTATTAGTTTTATTTTATGTTCTTTCCCTTTTTCCATCTATAACTTATTAATATTTCTATATAATGTGTGTCAATGCCAAGCAAGATATACAGGCAACCATCAGTCCTCTGGATCATGGTGTACAGTAAGAGGTCTGTAAGCATTGCACCAAGATCTTTGATGTGTACACCTAGGCAAGCATATGGAGGAGTAGAGGCTGCCCAAGACCTACCATCCTCCCTTTAGACCACTGAGACACGATTCACAGACCAGACCGGTTCCAGATTTTCAGTGCCTTGATGGTTGTAGCTTCTACCAGAGAGCAACAGATAAAAATGGCTGCTGACTGCCTAATACTTCAGTGAGATCATATTTCTGTCAGGGTGATATCTCTTAGCCTTTATCCAACCAAGGAGTTCCCACAAGGCAGTGGGGGCTATGGTTTTGAGGCACTGTATACTCACCTTATTCTGGAGGTTGCTACATTGTGGTATTTTGTAGGAGCTACCCTGCCATGAGTAGCCCCACCACATTGCCACCAGGCCCTCCAGTTGGATGCAGTTTAGGGTCATACCTAGGACTAAAGTAACTTATATAAGATACAGTAATAGGAAACAGAAGTATACTAAAGGGATTTGGCTGGGAGGAAACTGTTTGAAACTTTTGTTAAACTAATACTTGTTTTGTAAAGGTTTGGAAAAGAAAACTCAGGTACTTCAACCAGAGGAGAAAAAGACAGTAGCATATCATGAAGCAGGGCATGCAGTTGCAGGATGGTTTCTGGAACATGCTGACCCACTCTTAAAGGTAAAGCAAGCTAAACCAGTAGTTCTCAACCTTTGTGCATGGGGCTGGATGGGTAGTGCCCAGTCCCTCCATGGGCTGGATCCATCTAGTGGACTCTGTTCAGCACCTGGGGAGTGCATGGTAGGGCCCTATGTGACCAGATGGAGGAGGATGGTGGGGGTAACCCAGCCCAGATCCAGCCATGTGGGGAAAGGAGACTTGGCTCAACCCCAAACCAGCCTGGCATCGGGAAGAGGGCATGGCCTAACCCTGATCCAGCCCTGCAGGGGGAGGGAAGAAGAAAGTGTGGCCCTGCCCCAACCTGGTCAGGTAGAGGGAAGGGGGCATGGCCGTCTGAACCAGGCCCAGTCCCCAGAGGTGAAGTGGGGGGCAGCCTGGCCCCAACCATGCAGGGAAAGGGGGCTTGGCTCAGCCCAGATCTGGTCATGTGTGGGGAGGGTTGTGGCCAGGCTCCAACCTGCCACCTTGGGTTCAAGATTTGGCAGCAGGGGAGGGATTGCAGTCATGATCTTTAGTTCAGGTCATTACTGTCCATAAGATGCAAGCTTCTGAACAACTGTTTTTAGCTTATATGAAATGAGTTGGTGAGTCTTGGTTGTCTTCTTTTGAAGACAGAACCAGTACAATAATTGGCCTCTCCTAATATTGCCAGAGGCTAAATGGAGTTCAGATTGAATACCCAATCAAATGTTTAGGATTGTTTTCCTTCAAAGTTAAGGAGGGCTGAAGACTGGGAGTTGAAAACAGATACTGTTGAGATACAGCTACCCAGTCTTTCCATGATATAAATGAGGTGTGTAAGCTAGGCTTCAGTCACCTAGGTGAGGGAAGGTTCCACTATGAAAGAGGCAGAGAACTACTGATCTCAGTATATCGTGTATTCTAATTTAGGTTCACTAAATTATATCTGTATGGCAGCTGGTAATGAGAGCTTCTCAGACCAGCTAAAATACTTTAACGAGTCCCAAATCTTTTATTCATTAGTGGGAATGCTATATTGTAGTTATTGACAGTGCTCATCCATGTTGGTTGGCTTTCAGTCAGCTTTAATTCATAACCTTTTTGCTTTTGTATACCTGTCCTGCAAATTTAATTCTTTTCTCAAATGTAGAGCACATTTAAAATAGCCCAACCTACATATATGATTTTAAATGACTGCTACTGTTCTGAATAGGCCATAGGCCATAATCCCTGGTAATAGAAAATGCTTGAGAAAAAGCATATCAGTATATATGCACTGACATCAGCAGGAAAGATGGATTGCCATTTGGGTTGAAAACAGCGCTTTACCTGAAGAGGAGTCATGTCAGTTTGACCTTGCTCCCCCAGCATCTGTACAGCTCACATGCTTCAGTAGGGCTTTTTCGCACTTTTATCTAATAGCTGATTCACTCAGTGCTTGGGTAAAACTATCCAACATTTCACTAACAGTTCTCAACTCTCACCCTTCCCCTCTCCAAAAATAAGCCCGGGGTTTTCAGCAACAGACTACAAGCCATAGAGATGGTATATGGTACGCGTATTTGGTTTTTTTTTCTTATAGGACCATGACATTCTTTTTATACCCTATCTTGTCAGAGATTATAACATTGCAGTAATTTGGAGTGTGATTTTTCTTTTTCTTTTCTTTTTTTACTGCTGTTTCCTGCAAAGAACCCAGGATCTGAGAGTCCAGCCAGGTTCTTTGAGAATTACATTATGGGAATTCTGCATTCACAGTTTCAGTTGCATGAATCAAGGGAGAACTCCAC